AATCCAACCAAAAAAGAAAGAATTGCTGGCCAATCCCCCTAATGAACACAGATGTAAAAATTCCTCAATAAGATTCTGGAAAAGAGAATACAGCACATCATCAATAAGATTATTATTCATCATGACCAAGTGGGAGTCATCCCTATGCAGGGATGGTCAACACACACAAATCAATAAATGTAATATACCAGATCACAGAGCCAAGGACAAAAACACGATCATCTCAATAGATCAGAAAAAGCATGTAACAATGTCCAATACCGATTCAAAATATAAAAAAAAACCTACAGAAAATAAAAACAGACAGTCTTCAGCTCAATCTATTAAAAGCCATCTATGACAAACCAACAGCAAACACCATACTAAGTGATAAAAACCTGAAAGCTCTTAATGTAAAATCAGGAGCAAGAAAAGGTTGTGTCACCACTCTTATTCAATAAGGCCTTGGAAAAATTAGCCAGAGTAATTAGAAGAGAGAAAGAAATAAAAGGAATAAGGATAGGAAATGAAGAAGTTAAATCGACAAGGTTAAATTGTCATTATTTACAGAGGACATGATACTCTGCATAGAACACCCCCAAAACTCCACCAAAAGGCATCTAGATTTAATTACCAAATTCAATTGCATGGCTGGTTACAAAGTCAACACTCAAAAAGCACTAGCCTTTCTTTATTCGAATAACAAACTCAATGAGAGAGAAATTAGAGAAACAATATCTTTCACAATAGCACCTAAAAAATGAAGTATGTAGGAATCAATCTAATGAAGGAAATAAAAGACCTATACAATGAAAACCACAGCAATCTGAGAAAGGAAACTGGAGAAGATATGATGCTGGAGCATATTACAGTGTTAGCAAATAATGGAGAGGGGAAACAGAAACACATTATTCAGGGAAGGTCACAGGAGTCAATGGAAAGAATTCTATGGCCAAGCCAGAAATGAGTATAAAATAAAGCAATATTGAATTATAAGCCAAACCATAAGAGTTATATCAATGAGACATATTCATATAAATAAGTGACTTCATAAGTAAGTAAGTGGGAGAGAATAAACAAATCTATGCAGGAGAAATTCAGTTACCTTCCATGGATGCTGCACCCTCCCAGAGGAGGAGTGTAATACCCACCTCTTGAAAACAGTTTCCATGACTTCCCTCCAATGACCACAGACAGAAAGGGAGGAAAACTCCACAGTAGACAAATCTGAGAAACACACTTCAGCCCAGGGGCCAGAGTGACATCAGCAATGACAGTCAAGCTGAAAGCACAGACCCTGACACATGTGCAGAAAAGGACAGGCCTAGACATCGCTCTCCACAAAGCTCACTGCCCAGGCACATCATGAGAATAATCTCTGGCAAACCCCAGTGGACTGTCAAGCTACAAACACTGGACCAGTGCACCCCAAACCGTCAGGACAGCAGAATAAGGTTTGCAATCCTGTGACAGCCAAGAAGGGACATGAAGACAGGATGACTGAACACAACGTGGTGTCCTGGAACAGAAGAGGACATTAGGAGAAAATGCAGCAGATTTAAAGTGTGGAGCTTAGTTAATTTATTTTTCCTTTACTAGTATTCAAAAGGGCTTCAAGTAAGGCTCCTGAACTTTAAAAAAAAACAAAAAGTAGCTTAGCTAGATAAACCATACACAGAAGAATATTTTTTCAACATTCTGATTGTCTTTCCTGTTATACACTTTAAGTAGCAGCATGCATTTGGAATTAAGTACCTAAAACATATTTCAAGATGCTGCAACAAATTATCAGAATGATGCACAAATTATCAGAATGTGTGACACCGTGGGGTTCCTAGGTTAGGTTCGCTAAAGTTACTGTTCTCCTTACAAGAGGATACAGTCTCTCCCCAGGCCAGAAAAAAACAACAGTTTGAAACAATGTCTAAATGACTTGTCTGTGGTATTCTATAAACTTTCACTTTAAAGTACAAAGTTCCTTTCTAAGGTGATGCCTTCCAAAGCCCACAACACTAAGCATGGCTGTTGTTTATTTTTTATCCCAGAGTATATGCACACTCCTGAGAATGAGTGCTGATTTCATCCAAGATGAGTGGGACTACATTCCTTTTCTGATAGGGTGGCTCCTGCCCCAGAAGCATTAATACAAGACAGCAGTAAGATTTAGCTGACAGCCTTCAGTGTGAACAATGCACGTACACACATCATCACAGGTATAACACAGACACACACCTGAAGATGCATGAACATTCATTCATATAAACACACACTTACTCATGTCTGCATAAAAGTGCAGTTATGGATATGCATGCACACTCACACAAGTATACGTGAGTGGATACAGAAACATTAGTCACACATTTGCACACATTGACATTGTGCATACACAAACATGCATCCCTGCAGATACAAGCCATGTGTATGTCCACACCCACATACACAAAGCACACATGGCCACAGGCTCACATGTATTTATGCACTCGCACACAGATGCAAGCATCCTCACACATGTGCACAGGTAAGTTCACATGCATACATGTAAATGTGTTTATACATATTCACGCACACATGTATGTTAATATGTACACATACATGGGTCCACGTATACATGCTCACATACATGTACACATGCACTTGCATTCAGGTCAGGACTTCCTTGTCAATGTCATTCATTCATTTAGTCACTCATCCATTCATTCATTTGCTGTTTTGGTGATGGAATCCAGTGCCTTGCACATGCTGGACAAACACTCCTCTGTTCCGCAGAGCTCCCCCCCTCCACCCAGGTCCCCCTTGACTATGTCTTAATGGTATTTGTTCACGTGTTTGTAAGCACCGTGGATCTGACAAGTCAGTTCTGTTACAGAAGCACAGTAACTGCATACTGTGTGTCCCTGCTTGAGGATAACCAGGACCCAATAAGACTTGTTACAAGAGGAGGAGCTCAGTGGCGGTGATTGCCTCGCATGTGTGTGACCCTGGATTCAATCCCCAGTGCTACGTTAAAACAGACAACAGATGGCAGCCAGTGGGCAGTCAATCCCTGCAGAGATTTATAAATATGAGAAAGTGCCCATCTGCATGGACAACCACGGGTTACTAAAGACTGAGCAAGCATATCACAGCATGCAGCATCAGCAGCACCGGAAGTAGCCTCAGGGTTCTGCTCCAAGAAGAATCACTATTGTATTTTTCTGCAGCACATAAGTGTTCTGCTTTTTATTAGTACACGTCTGCAATTCACACAGCATACAGCTGCGTGGGGAGTGGTCCCATGGACATGTCACAGCTTGTCCCTGTTTTTAACCCCCTCCTCCTCCAGCTCCCCACCCCCCTTTCACACTTGCTGGTATTATTTGTCTGGGTTTACCCTAACTGGGGCTATCAGGTTCCTAGTCATGGCGCAGCTCTGCGCTTCTTATTCTCCCTCCCCCTCCTCCTCCCCTCCTGCCCTTGTTCCCGTGGACCATGTCCCTGCTGCTAAAGATCTAACACCTTCTTCCTCCCCATGTCCATTCTTTATCACTGTCTTTGTTTGTGCTTTGCCTCCCTCAAATGAGAGATACCGCATGGTATTTATGGTTGGGTATCTGGTTTATTTCACGCAACAGCATATTTTCCAGGTGCATCCAATTTTCTACAAATGTGTGATTTTTTGTAGTATTCCACGTAGTATTCCAGTATATACAGATACATTTTCTTTATCCAGGTGTCTGTTGGTGAGTATCCTGGCAGCTTCCAGGATTTAGTTACTACGAATTGTGCAGCACACATATTTTCTATGTTTATACTTTATGTAATTGAAATCCTATAACGTGTGCTCTTTTGTGTCTGAATTCAATCATTCAACATTACATTCTTTGGATTCTCCCGTGTCACTATAGATCATACATCTAAATTTTACTGCTGGGAATATCTCAGCACGCTTTAAAATGCAGATATAGCTGCACTTCTGCAAGGGTTATGAATGAAGTCCAGCAGGCGTGCAGATGTTCCTGGGAGTCACATGAGCCGTGTTCAGAGCGATGGCAGCGATCTGCATTTCCACCACCTGCACTTGGATGGCTTCAGATCCCTTGCCAACCTTAGCCCCTTTCCACCTCTTTCAATAGACCCACTCCGATGACCGTGGAGCAGTAATATAACATCGTGGTTTTAATTCAGATTTCCCAGATGAAATTTAGCCCCTCTTCGTGTGACTGTTGCTACTGAGCAGCCCCCCTCACAGAAATGCCACTCAACTATCTTGTTCATTTCCCTATTGCACTGTTTGTCTGGGGTTCTTTTTTTTTCTTACTGATTTGTAGGAGATTTTATAGTTGTAATAGAAGTCCTTCACTGGAAAAATGTATTGTAAATATCTTGTATTTGTAAAAAAATTTTTTCACTCTCTTAATGCTAACTTTGGTTGATCAAAAAAGGTCTGGTTTATCTTTTGCTTTATAGTTGGGTCTCCTTTATGGAATTTGTGCTATTAAAATGTCACTAATATGTCTTTGTATGGTTTCCTTTTAAAGATTTATATTTCACTTTTCACATTTCGATCTGTAAAGCCACACAGCAGTGATTTTTGCACGTGTCATGAGGTAAGGGTCAGGGTGCATTCTCCTGCCCTCTAGGTATCGTGTTGGCAAAACACCAGCTATTAAAAACGAAATCATGTCTTTATTATTGAACCACAGGGTCACCTAGGTCATAAACCAGGAGATCTATAGAAGTTTAAGTCTTTTTTCTGAGCTCAGGAGTTTTTCCTATTGGTAGGGTGTTGGGAGCCGTGGCACTGTCAAGTCATCAGACGCGGTGATTGCGAGGCCTGTAGGAAAGTACAAAAGCCTGAGCTAGATTACCCCTCTCATCGAGCCCGCCTGTGTGGCGTCTGTTTCCTGCTTCCTGATCCCTATCACCCCACTAAGTTCCCGCCTCGCAGGGTAGTCTGCCTAGCTACTAATGTTGCTAGCCAATCAGCTTACTCGACCCGCCTTGATTTGATTGGAGGCCACAATCCTATATATAGCCAGTACCTCCAACCCTGGGGAAAGAAGCACGGAAGGAGCCACGGGGAGCGGACCGGTTGAGGCTTCGGCCAGGTAGGATCCCGGGGCAGACTGTGAGGAAGACAAATAAAGAAAAGCTTGTCCACCATGAAACCCTGTTGCGTGCTGTTCCTGCCGGCCGGGAGCGACACCGACAGTAGGGTTTTCTATCTCTGTAGCAATACCACAGGAATCTAACAGAACTCTATAACAGATTATTTTACTTGCTGTTATAACTTTATTTAACTTTTCCTACAAGTAAATTTGTTGCAGATTAACTTTAAAACCATGTTCACTTAATGTTAAAACAACCAGTTCAAATGCACACACGCACAGATAGAAAAAAATTTTTGCCTAACACACATGAAGCCATAGTTCTGAGCTCCAGCACTGCAAAAATAAACTTAAGTAAAAATTAAAACTAAAATCCTATTTCAAAAATTTAACTGAGTTTTTCTTCATTTTTCCCTCAGCTATTTTAGTATCTTCTAATACCGTATCTACCACAAGTATAGTTCATTTCATACAGATAAATAAATAGTAATGAGAAACACTTTTATTCAATTAGCAAAATTAGTAATTTCTCCCTCCTCAAAAATCTGGAGATTGTATATTTGTTCAATACTGCTAATTACCTTTGGAACTGCTAATATATTGCTGTGATGGTTTCAACAATGAAAATAAAACGTTACCTTTTGTCCTACTCAAGACACTCATTAAGGAAGCATTTTGGAGCAACAAAATGATTTACACTGCAACATTAGCAAGCCTAATGTGCAGACGAATTTGAATTATGTAAGATTATGAATCTCATCAATAGCTTTGGCTATAAATAGGAATCTGTGAGTTTTTCTTAAATTCCACATGCTCAAAGGGAAATCTAACTGTTCCAGGCATCAAGACACCACCTTGCATAATGACTTATCCATATTTTTAACATTTTTAAGATTCTGAAGTATCCTGTCTCCAAAGTAATTCAGAAAATAGGAGATGAGTGAGGGCTTCGAATTGAAGCCAGAAATTAAGATCTAATAAGGGAAGGAATAATTTAAGTAGGATGACAGGCACTAATATAAAATTAAATTGACAAACTTAGTTTTGCTTGAATGGATAAATGTTAATATATAAAACATTCGTTTGTCAAAAGATTAGTATTTTTCTGGTTGAAAATTTTAGATTTAAAAGTTGGAACACTGCACTATCAGATAGCTAGCCAACTCTTTCTGACATTAAATCATTCCCACTTAAAATACTTTAATGTTTGAAGCAAAAATATCAGATTAAATGGTCAAGTTGATTTCTTCTTTACTTTCTTTGCAATTATCTGTACAACCAAATCTCATCACTATCATTAAGAATTCCAATGAGATAGGGCTTCCATATCTTTGGAATGGTCATTGTTTTTTTTAAAAAATCACAAAAAGTAACAAGTCTTGGAGACTCTGCTGGTGGGGATGGAAATGGTGCAGCCACTCTGGAAAACAGCCTGGCAAATCCTCACGCATTAAGCCTGTCACTACCATATGACCCAGCAACCCATCCCCAGGTTTACATCCAAAAGTGAAAGCAGATCTTGGGATGATATTGTGCGGTAACAGTCATCACAGGAGCACTCACAGCAGCCAAATATGGGTCTCAGAAGTGCCCAGCAGCAGCCGTTGAACCAATAAGGAAAAAGTGGACATTCATAGGATGGGATATAGCTCAGCCTTAAAAAGGAAGGAAACCAAGGACGGACCTGCTCAGATATTCCACCTGGAAGAACCAGGTTTACAGCAACAGGAAACAGAATCGTGGTCCCTGGGGTCCCAGGGAAGGATCTGGGGGTGACAGTTAATGACTACAGACTTTCCACTTAGAGCCAGGAAGAGCTCTGGAGATGGGTGGGCGTGATTAACACAGCAGTGTGAGTGGACTTAATGTCATTGATGGGTACACTGAAAATCCCTGAAAACAGCAGATTTCATACCACAACAGAAGACTAAAAGGATGCTAGAGACAGGCGATCTCTGAAATTACTATTAATAACTCCAACCTTCAAGTCTCAAAGTGCATCAGACAACACCAGGGTGTCCAGGGCCAGCCCAGACTCCCCTTCACGGAGAACCCAGAGACTCAGCATTAAGCCAGAAGGTGACAATTCGTTACAGCAAAAGGACACAGGAGAAACCAGTCAGGCGAAAGGCTCTTTGCCACAGCTGGGGGAAACCAGGACAAGGTCCGGAGTCCTCTCCAATGCAGTCACCTAGCATAAGCTTAGTCTCCCAGCACAGAGAAACCACAGCACGCAGGAAGGCTGGCCACCAGCAGCCTGTCAGAGCCTCGGCGCCCAGAGCTTTCACAGGGGCTGGTGACAGCCACCGTCTGCCTGGTGTAGACCAAACCCCAGTTCCCCGGAAAGAGGTCTCAATGCATACCACAATGTAGGTGGTAACACTTGGGCACCCTCAGCCATCTTGGTCCCTTAGGGCTTGGGACACCCTCCCAAGGTTCAGCTCCCCAGACACCAGCCGAGGGCCACCATGCAGCAGGGCTATCAGAGGACACACTGGGCCTGTTGGTGGATCTCCTTCCCTGTGGCACATTCACCTGAAAGGCTGCTTCGCACATGAGACAGGCCCAGCCACACCTCAGCCCCTCAAGATGGGGACACTCACTGCAGTCCCCAGCAGAAGTGGGACCTCCATGGACCGTCAGCACACGTTCAATTCTGAGACACACACTGGCACACCTGGCAGTCACAGGTGGCCTAAGCACAAAAATCTCCATCAGAGAGAATAGTTTTTCTCTAAACGGAAGAATGGCCCTGGTGAGAATCAATTAGGACTTGAACAGTTTTAATTAAGACCTGATCTGTGACTTGAATAATAACTAATCATTACATTATTATTATATGACAAAGTCATTAACTTAGACAAATTGAAAAGCAGCTCTGGACGAGAAATGCTTGCTGAGCTCCTCTGCTCGTGGGGTGGCTCAGCTCCGTCAGCCCCGAGGCTGCACCACCCAGCACCGCACCACCCAGGGCGTCCCCAGAAGCACCGGTTGTGTACGTCTGCCCCGCTTTGCTAGACCTGCCTCTGTCCAGTGGGTGTCCACTGTGTGCCCGCTGGGAAGCCAGGCACACAGGAGGGAGGCAAGTGAGGAAATGGGCTCTGCACGCAAACCATGTGGGCCCAGGAGGACAGAAGCCAGGTCAGCTCCCTGTAAACTGACCAGCATGTGAGCTGAGAATCAAGAACTACTTCCCAGCCCCATAAGCAACTGGCTGGTTCAGAGGACAGGCTGACAACTCAGCAACTAAGGTACGAAAACAACTAACGGCTTGTGTTGTTTGATGGACTCTGCAGCCTAGGGCCACTGGGGGTTTCCTTCTGTCTTGTTTTTGAGATCCAATATTGTTCTCATGGTTTTGTTTTGTTCTGATTTATTGTTTTGTTTTATTCAATGTTCTGTTTTGATTGGTTTCATTCTATTTTGTTTTGTTTGATGGAAAACTATTGTGAAGACAGCAAGACATATTTGGCAGCCATTGCTGACTTCCTATTATCCTGCTTCAAAGTTCTGCACCATTTTCACTGCCTTGTTTCAGTTGACTTTACTCTGTTTTGTTTTGATGGATTTTATTCTCTTTCAAATAAAAATTTTAATTTTTTTTTTTTAAAATCCAACATGCACCCGTGATAAAAGCCCTTAAGAAAACAAGTACAAAGCTGGGCCCAGTGGGCCACGCCTGTAATCCGAGCACTCAGGAGGCAGAGGATGGCTGTGAGGTGGAAGCCAGGCTGCGCTACATAGAGAATCTAAAGCTAGTCTGAACTACATAGCAAGATCTGTCTCAAAAAAAAGTTTTACAAAAGGACCTTATCACAATCAGAAAAACTGTTTGTGGCAAACCTACTGTCAACACTGTACTAAATGGAGAACCTTTGAAAGTTTTTCTGTCAAAATCAGAAACAAAAAAGGATGTCCAGCATCACCACCACTGTTCAGTATGGTACTCGAAACTTTACCTAGAGCAACTGGGCAGAGAAAGAAATAAAAGGCAAACTTACAGTGAAAAAAGAACTCAAACAACCCTTATTTGCAGATGATCCTTTACATAGAAGACCCAATAACTATTCCACCAAAAGGCTCCTAGAACTCATAAGTTCAGAAAAGTGACAGGGTACAAGAAAGAAAGAAAGAAAGAAAGAAGAGAGAGAGAGAGAGAGAGAGAGAGAGAGAGAGAGAGAGAGAGAGAGAGAGAGAGAGAGAAAAGAAAAGAAAAGAAAAGAAAAGAAAAGAAAAGAAAAGAAAAGAAAAGAAAAGAAAAGAAAAGAAAAAAGATAGACAGACAGACAGATAGACAGATAGATATGGGCACTGTAGGACAGCTCCCTCCTGTCCTGGTGGGATGGACAGGCCATTTTACTTGGTGCAGAGACAGACACCATAGGAAAATTCCTGCTAAAGCAACTCTCGACTTCATGGACCAGTGAGCCCACACTCTCTTCAAAGAGTGAGCAGCATTGAGAGAGGCGGGAAGGGGCCAGGGGCTGGGCACAGGCAGCATGGACAGCAGGGCCCATAGAGACTGGAGCTGCCCCACAGGAGCGGAAGCTGGGGAACAGAACCACATTCAGTGTGAGGCTGCTGTGCACACATCGGGAGCAGAGTCCAGAGAGCCTGGGCAGTCTGCTCGGGACAGCAGGCAGCCGGACCTCTTAAGAGGCCCTGACCTCTTCGGGGACCATCTAGAGCCACCTGCTGCTGCCCGATGGCCCTCACCCACCTCTCAGCCTGGCCTGCTCCCAACCCACAGAGGGGTTCTTCAGGGCTGCCCAGTCCAGCAGTGACCCCTCCCCGGGGACCAGCCTTTGCCCTGCGGGAGTCACTGGTCACAGTGGGAGGAAAAGAAGGGCCTCTCTTCACTTTAGCCTCACAGGGCACTACCTTGAACTTACAATAGACCTCAGATGACTTCCTGGTTATACAAAGAAGGTGACCTTCAGCTTCCTGAAGGAGGGCTGAGAGCTGGGCGTGAGAGTGGAGAAGACTGAATTCTGACAGCCGGTCTGCACTGAACGAGG